GATCGAGTAATCGAGTGAGTGATCGAGTGATCGAGTGATCGAGTGAGTGATCGAGTGAGTGATCGAGTGAGTGATCGAGTGAGTGATCGAGTGAGTGATCGAGTGAGTGATCGAGTGAGTGATCGAGTGAGTGATCGAGTGAGTGATCGAGTGAGTGATCGAGTGAGTGATCGAGTGAGTGATCGAGTGATCGAGTGAGTGAGTGAGTGAGTGAGTGAGTGAGTGATCGAGTGAGTGAGTGTGTGAGTGATCGAGTGAGTGATCGAGTGAGTGAGTGATTGATTGAGTGAGTGATCGAGTGAGTGATCGAGTGAGTGATCGAGTGAGTGAGTGTGTGAGTGAGTGATCGAGTGAGTGATCGAGTGAGTGATCTAGTGAGTAATCGAGTGATCGAGTGAGTGAGTGGGTGAGTGATCGAGTGAGTGATCGAGTGAGTGATCGAGTGATCAAGTGAGTGAGTGAGTGAGTGAGTGAGTGATCGAGTGATCAAGTGAGTGAGTGAGTGAGTGAGTGATCGAGTGAGTGATCGAGTGAGTAAGTGAGTGTGTGAGTGATCGAGTGAGTGATCGAGTGAGTGATCGAGTGGGTGAGTGATAGAGTGAGTGAGTGAGTGAGTGAGTGATCGAGTGATCAAGTGAGTGAGTGAGTGAGTGAGTGATCGAGTGAGTGATCGAGTGAGTAAGTGAGTGTGTGAGTGATCGAGTGAGTGATCGAGTGAGTGATCGAGTGGGTGAGTGATAGAGTGAGTGAGTGAGTGAGTGAGTGATCGAGTGATCAAGTGAGTGAGTGAGTGAGTGAGTGAGTGAGTGATCGAGTGATCAAGTGAGTGAGTGAGTGAGTGATCGAGTGATCAAGTGAGTGAGTGAGTGAGTGAGTGATCGAGTGATCAAGTGAGTGAGTGTGTGAGTGATCGAGTGAGTGATCGAGTGGGTGAGTGATCGAGTGAGTGAGTGAGTGATCGAGTGATCGAGTGAGTGAGTGAGTGAGTGAGTGAGTGAGTGATCGAGTGATCAAGTGAGTGAGTGAGTGAGTGAGTGAGTGAGTGATCGAGTGATCAAGTGAGTGAGTGAGTGAATGATCGAGTGAGTGATCGAGTGAGTGAGTGTGTGAGTGAGTGATCGAGTGAGTGATCGAGTGAGTGATCTAGTGAGTGATCGAGTGATCGAGTGAGTGATCGAGTGAGTGATCGAGTGAGTGATCGAGTGAGTGATCGAGTGAGTGATCGAGTGATCGAGTGAGTGAGTGAGTGATCGAGTGAGTGATCGAGTGAGTGAGTGATCGTGTGAGTGAGTGAGTGAGTGATCGAGTGAGTGAGTGTGTGAGTGAGTGAGTGATCTAGTGAGTAATCGAGTGATCGAGTGAGTGATCGAGTAATCGAGTGAGTGAGTGAGTGAGTGAGTGAGTGAGTGAGTGAGTGATCGAGTGAGTAAGTGAGTGTGTGAGTGATCGAGTGAGTGATCGAGTGAGTGATCGAGTGGGTGAGTGATCGAGTGAGTGATCGAGTGATCAAGTGAGTGAGTGAGTGAGTGATCGAGTGATCAAGTGAGTGAGTGAGTGAGTGAGTGATCGAGTGAGTGATCGAGTGAGTGAGTGTGTGAGTGAGTGATCGAGTGAGTGATCGAGTGAGTGATCTAGTGAGTAATCGAGTGATCGAGTGAGTGATCGAGTAATCGAGTGAGTGATCGAGTGATCGAGTGAGTGATCGAGTGAGTGATCGAGTGAGTGATCGAGTGAGTGATCGAGTGATCGAGTGAGTGAGTGAGTGAGTGAGTGAGTGATCGAGTGAGTGAGTGTGTGAGTGATCGAGTGAGTGATCGAGTGAGTGAGTGATTGATTGAGTGAGTGATCGAGTGAGTGATCGAGTGAGTGATCGAGTGAGTGAGTGTGTGAGTGAGTGATCGAGTGAGTGATCGAGTGAGTGATCTAGTGAGTAATCGAGTGATCGAGTGAGTGATCGAGTAATCGAGTGAGTGATCGAGTGATCGAGTGAGTGAGTGAGTGAGTGAGTGATCGAGTGAGTGATCGAGTGAGTGATCGAGTGAGTGATCGAGTGAGTGATCGAGTGAGTGATCGAGTGATCGAGTGATCGAGTGAGTGAGTGATCGAGTGAGTGAGTGAGTGATCGAGTGATCGAGTGAGTGAGTGAGTGATCGAGTGAGTGAGTGAGTGATCGAGTGAGTGAGTGAGTGAGTGATCGAGTGAGTGAGTGAGTGAGTGATCGAGTGAGTGAGTGAATGTGAGATGAAGTAGTTGAATTGGACTTGGTCACGTACTTTCTGCTGCAGGTTTGCACTCTTGTTCTTGGACGAGCCTCTGGGGTTCATGCTGTTCTCTGGACTCGTGTAGAGCGACTGAAGGCTTCGGTGGTCCGATGGATACGAGCAGCTCGACTGACACACGCTCTTCTGCTGTAACTGTGACAGAGAGAGATGTTTCAGCAGTCAGGCACAATCGTGTGTCTGTGATCAGAGCTTAAAACACGTGCCAAGTGCTTTGTATTTATGTTGGTTTTGAAAAACTTTTATACTACTTTCAACAAGAGATTAAATTTCATGACTCTAAAAAGGTTGTGAGGTGTAATCATGAAGTAAAAACTGATTAAATACATGAGTGTTTTAAATAAATAAATAAAAAACATACATATTTTTTCAAGCTAAATATTTCGTACATATATAAATATATATAACATTAAAGGTGCTCTAAGCGATGTCACGCAATTTTTAGACCAAAACATTTTTTGTCACATACAGCAAACATCTCCTGACTGTCCACTGGCTGCCTGTCCCCTGAACACACTGTAAAGAAACGCGATCTCTGTAGACAGCCCAGGCTAACCCGCTCCACGAAACATGACAAACACTTCCAGCCAATCACCGACAAGAATGACTTGGGGGCGGGGTTTGGGGGGTTAGTGGCGGATGAGGAGGAGGGAGGGTCTAGCTAGCCTCCGTTTTGTTTGACAATACTTTAAATGTCAACAAGTGACGTCACCCGACATCGCTTAGAGAACCTTTAACACCCGTTAAATGCGTGTGTATTTCAGCAGTGGCGTGTAACAGTCACTCCTACTAGATACTTTGAAGGGTTAAATGTTATATATAATATATGCATTTTTCAACTGTAGTCTTTTAAAAAGCCATCTGAAATAATAAACTAAGTGCAATGTATATTGATTTTTCGATACATATTGATACTAAATATCAGAAACGCTTCCAATACTCATTTTTTCCCCCAGAATAGATACATGATACCAGCGTTTCTCTCTCTCTCTCTTCTCTCCGACAGCGAGTGACACACGAACCCGCCTCTCCTCACTCACTCGCTTAATTTGCTCAGGATCAGAATCAGAATATGATTGGATCGAATCGGATGAATATGGTTGTTGTTACAGTACTTGTATTTCAGCGTGGGATTGCACGTTTTGACCATAATTTTACTTGTTCCCACAGATTTTGAGCTCACACCCAATGTACACGCACAAAGTCGCCTTGGATCGTGCTTGTGACACACCTGCATGTTTAACGTATTTCTGAATAAATGATCGTGCTCGTGACGCACCTGCATGTTTAACGTATTTCTGAATAAATGATCGTGACGCACCTGCATGTTGCGAGCGGGTCTGTGCGAGTCTCTCAGCAGGAACGGTTGGACAGGCGACTCAGGCTGAGGACTGGCGGAGGGTTTAGTAACGGGAGACTCCTGAGGAGAACACTGAGGACTCATGAAGGCGGAGAGACTCGGGTCGCAGTGACCCACACACACTCCGGTCCCCTGCTCGGAGGACAGCGGGCAGCTGGAGGACACGTGCTCCTGCTTGACCGACACGCCGTAGCCCTGCGGAACCTGAACCGGAGGCTCCATGATCACGGGACACTCGCGGCTCCTCTTGTGGAGCTCAAAGCGCAGCTCCTCCACCTGCCTCTGCTCCTGCTGGAGCTTCCACCGCAGCTCCTCGATCACCTTCTGCTTCTCTACCAGCATCTTGTCCTTCTCCGCGTCCGGGCCGAGGTGTGGAGACGACAGCGTGCCGTCGCTGAAGCTGTCGGGCAGCGAGAGGTCGGAGGAGGCCGGGGAGATGGGAGGCGAGGAGCCGCTGCTGCAGAACGGGTAGAAGCCGGGCCCGTGGGATGCCGGGGACTGATAGGAGGATCCGCTGGGAGTCACGGGGAACGGGCCGGTGCTGACGTCCCCGGAGCCCGATGGAGAAGCACAGCTGGAGTCTTTAAAGGGACGCAGGCGCTCGATGAGAGACGTTTTGGTGCCGGAGACGGGGAGACCTCGTATGCGCAGTTGCTGTCGCAGTTCGGACACCTGAAGACACAGAAGACAAGAGTTTCAGGCTTTATAAGAAGTAAAAAAGTAAAGTAAAACTTTATTTATATAGCACTTTTCACAGACAAGAAGGGTCACAAAGTGCTTCACAGTAAAAACTAAAATAATAAAACATAATAACCACAACACACATAACAACAAAACCATATGGCTAGTTAAATGCTTGTCTAAAAAGATGCGTCTTAAGGTGTTTACTAAACGTTTCTACATAGTCCAGGGCTCTCAAGGCTAATGGAAGAGAGTTCCAGAGCCTTGGAGCCACCACACAGAAAGCACGATCACCTCTTGTTTTAAGACGTGTTTTAGGAACGGTAAAAAGGTCTTGGCCTGAAGACCTCAAAGAGCGACCAGGAGTGTGTATGTGCAATAGGTCCTGGATGTAAGAGGGAGCTTGACCATGGAAGGCTCTGTAAGTAATGGTTAACATTTTAAACTGCACTCTAAAACTAATTGGGAGCCAATGAAGAGCCTTAAGCACAGGTGTGATATGTGATCTCCTGTTGGTCTTTGACAAAAGTCTTGCAGCAGCATTCTGTACAACTTGCAGTTTGTCCATGGAGGATTTGTTTAAGCAAGTGTACAGTACATTGCAATAATCCAGGCGAGAGGAAATAAAAGCATGAACAAGCATCTCCAGCTCTTCTTTAGAAACAACCGATCTAATCCTAGCGATGTTCCTGAGATGAAAAAAACAGGAACGAATCACAGATTTAACATGACTGCTAAAACTCATCGATTTATCAAAAATGACACCCAAATTTTGCACCACATTACCATCCGAGGATGGTAGAGCCCCAATGGCCTGCCTAATCTTTGGAGTCATGTTATCTGGAGCAAAAATCAGCACCTCAGTTTTGTCTGAATTTAGTTGCAAAAAGTTGTCTGCCATCCAATTATTAATGGAGGCTAAGCAATTGTGCAACAAGGACAGTTTATCCAGCCTATCAGGGCTAAAAGATAAATATAGTTGAATATCATTAGCATAACAATGATAAGATATTTCCCCAAAAACTAGCAATAATCTCTCCGAAAGGGAGCATATACAGACTGAACAGCAGGGGGCCGAGCACAGAACCTTGGGGCACACCACAGGACAAAGAAGCAGCGCTTTTTCGATTTAAAGTGGACATATCATGATTTTTCCGTGTTTAAGTGCTATAATCAGGTCCCCGGTGAATCTACCAACCTAGAAAACGTTGTTTTGGTGAGCCTTTCTCTTTACCAAATGTAAAAAATTTCGGTAAAAAATTAGCGAATAGCACCAGAGGGCGTATAAGCTTTGGGTCATCATCAGTACCTTCAGGTCGTCCAGGTTGTTGGGCAGCGGCGCGGGACTGATGGAGTTGATGGAGTTGATGGAGTTGATGGAGTTGATGGAGGACGGACTGCAGTAGTTGCTCTTCACTGGAGACGACGAGCTGCTGCTACTGCCTGCTGAAGCACATGAGGCCTGCTGCTCACCAGACGACCTGATACACACACACACACACACACACACACACACACACACACACACACACACACACACACACACACACACACACACACACACACACACACACACACACACACATCAGTGAGAATGCTGGAAACAACTCTTGTCAGTAAATAAAAAACACCAGTTTTCACTGAAAAGCGCCTATAATAATGTTGTAATAAATGGCAATAACTTGCTTAGGGATTGTTACATGTAGACAATTTCATCTGGCAATAAAAGTATAACTTTCTAAAGGAAAAAAAATCAAACTTCAAGGAGGTTCTGTTTGACTGACTATAATTTTGCTCCAGTTTTTCTTAAATCTGGTAAATTTATCGATTCTCAGAAATGTTTTTTTTTTTTAATTGGTACTTTAAATGAAATAGTTTGAAACGTCAAGTTCAGGGTTGGGCCGATGGACGATATCATCATCCATCGTGATGGCTGACAGACATCACGATGTTTAGACAGCATCGGAAAATATCAAAAATACAGTAAAACAGCTGTTATCTATGTGAATATATGTTAAAATATAATTTATTCCTGTGATCAAAGCTGATTCAGCATCATTACTCCAGTCTTCAGTGTCACATGATCCTTCAGAAATCACTCTAATATGATGATTCGCTGCTTTTATGATTATTATCAATGTTGAAAACGTCTCGTTCCCTGAGGGAGGACGTAATTGGGATCACTTCAGGGAGCTCTACCATCTTCGAGTATCTACAGAACAAGCCAATGCACATTGGCGTGTGAGATTTGCATCTCGTGCCCCGCAGCGCGGATATAAATACGGAAGCTGATGCACACACCTTTTGTTTTTCGCTGAGGAGCCGAAAAACAAAAGGTGTTTTTGGCTTGTTCTGTAGATCCACGAAGATGGTAGAGCTCCCTGAAGTGATCCCAATTACGTTGGCACGTCGACGTAACGTTGAACGTGACCGACTGAAAGGGAACAGTTGTGCTACTTCAGATTTCTGTGGAAACCGTGTTCCATTACAATTTAAACATTTGGCATCAGTAAAAAAAAATTGTGAAAGAAATGAATACTTCTATTCATCAAGGATGTTACAAAAAGTTATAATGTTACAAAAGATTCCATTTCAAATAAATTCTGTTCTTTTGAACTGCTAATTCATCCAAAATGTGATACAAGATTCTTTGATGAATAGAAAGTTCAAAAGAACAGCATTTATTTGAAATAGAATCTTTTAATCCACAATGATTCGAGTGTGTACACGATGTAGTTTATCCGGTGATATTTGTGCTTCTGAACGATGTGTGGACTCACTTGTGCTGGTTGATCTGGTAGCTGAAGCTGGTCTGCGAGTGTGTCTGCGAGTGTGTGTGTTTCTGCTGGCTGAGGATCTGCAGTTGTAGGAAGAGCTGCTGTTGTTGAAGCAGACGAGCGTACGCGGAGTCCATCTGAGCCGGAGGAGAACGCTCGGCCTTCTGGTCCGGTGGGATGTACTGGTGGTACTTCAGCTTCTTCACTTTAGGCTTGATGTCTTTGGGTTTCTTGTGGCGGTTCTTCTCAGACACTTTGGACTGCTTTGCACAGGAAAAGAACAGAGGATTCGAGGAACTTCATGCAATGAGCAGATATCAGATTTACAGAGAGCTTATTATTTGATGAGGACGCTCATGTTCTCCTCTGGGGTTTGAGCGCTGCCGTCTTTGCTCTGAGGGCCCTTAATAATACATTATTATACCGTTAAATGATGATTAAAGATTGATTGTTATTAACCCTGTAAAGCCTGACATATTAAATAATAATACTAGTCTGAAATTGTTTTTAATGGAACAGTTAATTGAACATTAAGACAAAAAAAAAATCATGTGTTTTTTGTTAAGAATCATATTTGATCCATATAGTCTGATGTAGTGAGAATATGGAGGAAAAAACAGCTTTACATTACTACAATATTAAAGGTTAACAACATAGCACAAACTGTTCGCCAAAATTCAGTTGCTATTTTTAGATATAATAATCAAAACTCAAATAACAAATTGTATGCAAAACGTCAACTGCACATAAGGCAGTTTACGCATTAACTTCTAAATCTAATTATATGTTTCCAATTCGTTGCCTGTAATCATTGCTGTCATTTTCATGACAGATATTTTAAACATAGCCTACATTAAATAGTCAAGACTTCACTAACAGGTTATATATAGCGATAGAGTTCTTTCTCTAGCGAACTAACAAGCTGTGAAAACTGAATGACTTGCCTGAGGTAAATTATGTGACATTTTGTTTACAAGCGGTTTTATTGACGTCTTTCCGCCTTTGAAACACTGATTGAGCGATTACACGAGTTATGATTCATTTCAGTAAGTTGTACTGTATCTTTCAACATACATTCAGATGTTCATTGATGTTTATTGTGTAACTGGTGTTTAAGAGGAAGAGATGATCGCGTTCACAAGCGCTCCGCCTATTATCAGTCAGAGCGTCAAAATGGCATTTATTGTTTGAATTTCATGATAAAATGGACAGAATATTAAAGATTACACTTTGTTTCTTATCGAAAGTAACAAAACGCAGAGTGTATTGCGATTATTGGTGGTTAAAAGTGGTGGTTAGGCTACACGCAGTGTTCGTCGTGTACACATAAGACACGAAAATTTGCGGGACGAATATGTGCACCATTACACCCCTAATTACATTTTAATCAAATGTCAAGGAAGAAAAGTTAGTTTTGTGACAAAGTAAAGTCAACCTCAAGCGGCAACCTTCGTGTCTCTCTAATCCAACACTGAAGTGAGTTAAACTGCAGTTCCTCCACTGGCCACTAGAGGCCGGCTTCAGGAGAGACTCAATCCCATAGACCCGCATGTTAAAATGCCCAACTTTACAGCAGAAATAAATATGTTTTCAGTCTGGTGCAAAAAGTGGTTTTGGTCTATATAGATAATGTTGTCCTTCATGACGACTGTGAGGGTGGTGAATTTTTGTATAACTCATCCTTTTATACTATATTAAGCCTTAAAGTTTTGCATTTTTAATACATGATTAACTAACTGTATTTTTTCTATGTACATTTCTGAAATGCACTTTCTGTAAAGCTGCTTTGAAACAATATGTATTGTGAAAAGCGCTATACAAATAAATTTGAATTGAATTGAATAATTAAGGGCGTGGCCACTTGAGTGACAGGTGGATTGCCGCTGATGTCACTACTAGCCGTTTGTCTGCTAGCGTTAGCGTCACGTCACCTCAGCTAATCCGCCTCACTGCACATTTTCGTTTATCTGGGAGTGACGCGCAGCCAAGATGGCGACGGCCGGCTCCGCCCACTTTGGGCAGGCCCGTCGGAACAGGACAGGCAAACCAAGCAATTGCTTGGGGCCCCGAGCTGGACTGGGGCCCCAAGACAACGACTGTTTAAGAATAAAATGCAACGACAAACTGTGAGCGCCCCTTTGATAGTCAATGCAGTAAAGTGCAATGACACTGTTATCGGAATCCCCCTCAAGGGGGCCCCCTCAGTAGTCGCTGACAGCAGCCAGCCAACCACGCGATCTCTGCTACCGGCAAAATACAAACCTCCTCGGGAGTTATCATGAAGCGGAATTATGCTTCAGGAAGCCAGAAAAGAAAGAAGAGAAAGGAAGAGAAGGTTAAGAAAAATACCAGATAGTGGTAAAGTTATAAATTACACTGCATAAAAATAGCTCTACTTGTCTTGTACAAATGGTGTAATTTTGCAGCAGGTAACATTAGGCTAGCAAAAATATGTTTATGTTAGCTACCTGCCTGACGGCAAATGCTGCTTGTAACGATCGAACAGTTAGTGCAAATTTTTGTTCGAACGGACGGAATATGGTTAACGTTACATACTGTAATATGTTTTTTAACGGTTTAAGGAGTTCCAGAATCACTGTTTATCGTATTTAATGACATGACATTGCTATAGCTAATAGGTTTTGATGAAAGTGGCATAGCATAACTATTCCACCGTGATAATCTATTTACCAATGGGGGTTAGGAAAACCACACAATAAATTCCGTGCATCAAACATTAGCTTGGGATGTTTTTAAGCATTGGTAGTGAAAGCAGCATCCCTTCCCTTCTAATATCAAAATATGGAAATGCTAACATATCTTTAAGTTTTCTGTAACACTTTATAATAACAATCATTAATAGATGGTAAATTGTTAGTTATTTAATATTTAGTTAATTGTCATTTAACTGTTAGCAAACAGTCTTTTTACTTAATAAATAATTTGTAACCTTACCCATCTGTAAACATTATTTAACCTGAAAAAGGCAGAGGAACATGATTTTTTCATAGCTTATGTCACTGTAATTTTTTTATTTTTTTATGCACAGTATGCAACAGCAGTATTTGCACTGTAAACCTTTTTTATTCATATAAAGTGTGTGTAAGTGTGTGGGTGGGGGGGGGGGGGCTTGGGGGGCCTCCATGTCCATTTTGCTTGGGGCCCCCAAATTCCTTCAAACGGCCCTGACTTTGGGCTTCAAAAACGCTCTTCAGAAACACTACGGGTGACGTCACGCACACTACACACATATTTTACAGTCTATGTTCAACCTCAACAATGGGATAGGGCGGGGCGCGTTACGTACCGTGGATGGTGTATCGTGGTTTTTCGGTTCAGTTTGAATATCGTTACACCCCAATGCTTTTAGACTAAACACGTAATACGCATGTGCAATCCGTCACCATTTCCACAGATTCACATTTATTACAGTTTAAGGTAATGGTATCGTTTTCCAAAAACTATTTAAATTTTGCGTTCCCAGGCCACCAAATCGCAGCTGTTGTGTAAATCATCAAAAGTTTTCTGTTTTCAGTAGTAAACGGTGTTGTGTAAGCGAGTTAATAACTAATGATTCTTACAACGAAAATGAATAAATTCAAAACTTAGTTAAACTGAACAGTGACTTTCTTCTAGATCTGCTGTACAGCCAAAACAATCTTTGCATTATTTTCCTGTTATCACTGTAAAGCTGCTTTGAAACGATCTGTATTGTATAAAGCGCTATACAAGTAAAGCTGACGATTTAAACCATCAATCAGATGACAGAGGGACTGCATGAATTTTGGAGACTATCAAATATGAATCAGTAGTCTTAAAGGGTTAAACAAATATAAATAATGTCTTCTGTTAAAAACTTCTGCAAAGGTCAAACCTTGGAGTTTCCATACGTTGGTACGCAGGTGACATTGTTTATAAGATTTATGTACTTTGGATTTAATATATGCCACACATGAGGTGATTACTATTAAACATGTACATCATTTACAGCTTTCACAAGCCACAGCACTAAAGTAAATATTCCAAACACACTTTTACTCAGTGTGTTTGTAGCAACAGGTCATGATGATGTGATGCCAGGCACATACTGCGAGCCGTTTATTATCACCAGAGAACGGGCAATCATTCTAACATTCACAAAACACTGCGTCAGAAACACACTGATCTCAGGCTCCGAGTCAAAGAGCTGTCAGACGATCCTGAGCAGAACTGCAGTTCCCTGAACCACCACAGGGGGCAGAACACCAACACCTGAACCGCCACAGGGGGAGGAACACCAACACCTGAACCTCTACAGGGGGCAGAACACCAACACCTGAACCACCACAGGGGGCAGAACACCAACACCTGAACCTCTACAGGGGGCAGAACACCAACACCTGAACCTCTACAGGGGTCAGAACACCAACACCTGAACCACCACAGGGGGCAGAACACCAACACCTGAACCTCTACAGGGGGCAGAACACCAACACCTGAACCTCTACAGGGGGCAGAACACCAACACCTGAACCACCACAGGGGGCAGAACACCAACACCTGAACCTCTACAGGGGGCAGAACACCAACACCTGAACCTCTACAGGGGGCAGAACACCAACACCTGAACCTCTACAGGGGGCAGAACACCAACACCTGAACCTCTACAGGGGGCAGAACACCAACACCTGAAACCACCACAGGGGGCAGAACACCAACACCTGAACCACCACAGGGGGCAGAACACCAACACCTGAACCTCTACAGGGGGCAGAACACCAACACCTGAACCTCTACAGGGGGCAGAACACCAACACCTGAACCTCTACAGGGGGCAGAACACCAACACCTGAACCACCACAGGGGGCAGAACACCAACACCTGAACCTCTACAGGGGGCAGAACACCAACACCTGAACCTCTACAGGGGGCAGAACACCAACACCTGAACCTCTACAGGGGGCAGAACACCAACACCTGAACCACCACAGGGGGCAGAACACCAACACCTGAACCTCTACAGGGGGCAGAACACCAACACCTGAACCTCTACAGGGGGCAGAACACCAACACCTGAACCTCTACAGGGGGCAGAACACCAACACCTGAACCTCTACAGGGGGCAGAACACCAACACCTGAACCACCACAGGGGGCAGAACACCAACACCTGAACCTCTACAGGGGGCAGAACACCAACACCTGAACCTCTACAGGGGGCAGAACACCAACACCTGAACCACCACAGGGGGCAGAACACCAACACCTGAACCTCTACAGGGGGCAGAACACCAACACCTGAACCACCACAGGGGGCAGAACACCAACACCTGAACCTCTACAGGGGGCAGAACACCAACACCTGAACCACCACAGGGGGCAGAACACCAACACCTGAACCGCCACAGGGGGCAGAACACCAACA